TCGTGTAGCCTTTGGATAAATACCTAGTAGTGAAATTCTACTAGGGGTAGAATCACAGGGTAGTTCTGTTTTTAATTTTTGAGGGAACTTCCATAGCCTCTGTTTTCCAGAGTGGCTGCACCAGTTTGCATTCCCACCAGCAGTGCAAAAGTGTTCCTCTTTAAAAAAAATTTTTTTTTAATGTTATTTGTATTTGAGAGAGAGAAGAGACAGTGCGTGAGTGGGGGAGGGGCATAGAGCGATGGAGACAGAATCTGAAGCAGGCTCTAGACTCTGAGCTGTCAGAACAGAGCCTGACACGGGGCTCGAACTCCTGAGCCAAAGTCAGACACTTAGCTGACTGTCACCCATGTGCCCCAAAAGGGCTCTTCTTTCTCTGCATCCTCGCCAACATCTCTTGTTGCCTGAGTTGTTAATTTTAGCCAATGTGACAGGTGTGAGGTGATATCTCATTGTGGTTTTGATTTGTGTTTCCCTGATGATGAACGGTAGCATTTTTCCATGTGTCTGTTAACCATCTATCTGGGTGTCTTCTTTGGAAAAGTGTCTATTCATGTCTTTTGCCTATTTCTTCACTGGATTGTTTTTTTTGGGGTGTTGAATTTGATACGTTCTTTATAGATTTTGGATACTAACCTTTTATCTGATGTGTCATTTGCAAATATCTTCTCCCATTCCATGAGTTGCCTTGTAGTTTTGTTGATTGTTTCTTTTGCTGTGCAGAAGCTTTTTATCTTGATGAGGTCCCAATACTTCATTTTTGCTTTTGTTTTCCTTGCTTCCAGAGACATGTTGAGTAAGAAGTTGCTGCGACCAAGGTCATAGAGGTTGTTGCCAGTTTTCTCCTCTAGGATTTTGATGGTTTCCTGTCTTACATTTAGGTCTTTCATCCATTTTGAGTTTATTTTTGTGTATGGTATAAGAAAGTGCATCCAGATGAATTCTTCTGCATGTCGCTGTCCAGTTTTCCCAGTACCACTTGCTGAAGAGAGTGTTCCATTGGATATTCTTTCCTGCTTTGTCAAAGATTAGTTGGCCATATGTTTGTGGGTCTATTTCTGGGTTTTCTATTCTGTTCCATTGATCCATTTGTCTATTCTTGTGCCAGTACCATACTGTCTTGATGATTACAGCTTTGTAATACTGCTTGAAGCCCAGAATTCTGATGCTTCCAGCTTTGGTTTTCTTTTTCAAGATTGCTTTGGCTATCCTAAAAATTTGTATGGAACCAGCAAAGACCCTGAATAGCCAAAGCAATCTTGAAAAGAAACCAAAGCTGGAAGCATCAGATTCTGGGCTTCAAGCAGTATTACAAAGCTGTAATCATCAAGACAGTATGGTACTGGCACAAGAATAGACAAATGGATCAATGGAACAGAATAGAAAACCCAGAAATAGACCCACAAAACATATGGCCAACTAATCTTTGACAAAGCAGGAAAGAATATCCAATGGAACACTCTTCAGCAAGTGGTACTGGGAAAACTGGACAGCGACATGCAGAAAATTCATCTGGATGCACTTTCTTATACCATACACAAAAATAAACTCAAATGGATGAAAACCTAAATGTAAGACAGGAAACCATCAAAATCCTAGAGGAGAAAACTGGCAACAACCTTCTATGACCTTGGTCGCAGCAACTTCACTCAACATGTCTCTGGAAGCAAGGAAAACAAAAGCAAAAAATGAAGTATTGGGACCTCATCAAGATAAAAAAAGCGCACAGCAAAGAAACAATCAACAAACTGGGCAACTCATGGAATGGGAGAAGATATTTGCAAATGACACATCAGATAAAAGGTTAGTATCCAAAATCTATAAAAGAACGTATCAAATTCAACACCCCAAAAAAAAAAACAATCCAGTGAAGAAATAGGCAAAGACATGAATAGACACTTTTCCAAAGAAGACACCCAGATAGATGGTTAACAGACACATGGAAAAAATGCTACCGTTCATCATCAGGGAAACACAAATCAAAACCACAATGAGATATCACCACACTCACATTGGCTAAAATTAACAACTCAGGCAACAAGATGTTGGCGAGATGCAGAGAAAGAAGAGCCCTTTGGGC